GTGACAACAGTGACAATAGTGACAACAGTGAAAAAAGTGACAACGGTGACAACAGTGACAATGGTGACAACGGTGACCACAGTGACAACGGTGAAAACGGTGAGAATGGTGACAACAGTGGTAACGGTGACAACGGTGACAACAGTGACAACGGTGACAATAGTAAAACCAGTGACATCAGTGACAATGGTGACAGCGGTGACAACAGTGACAATGGTAATGTCAACACTGACAATAGTGACAACAGTGACAACGGTGACAACAGTGACAACGGTGGCAGCATTGACCTCAACGACAAAAGTGACAACAGAGACAACCGTTACAACAGTGACAACAGTGACAACAGTAAAAAAGGTGACAACGGTGACAACAGTGACAACGGTGACAACGGTGACAGCAGTGACAATGGTGAGAACAGTGACAAGAGTGACAAGTGACAACAGCGACAACGATGACAATAGGAACAACGGTGACAACAGCGACAACAGTGACAATGGTGACAAAGGTGACAAAAGTGACAACAGTGACAATGCTGACAACAACGACAACGGTGACAACAGTGACAATGGTGATAACGGTGACAACAGTGACAACAATGACACAGTGACAACAGTGACAACAGTGACAACGGTGACAACTGTCACAACGGTGAGAACAGAGACAACGGTGACAACTGTGACAACAGTGAAAACAGTGACATCAGCGACAACGGTGACAAAAGTGACAACTGGCGACAACAGTGACAACAGTGACAACAGCGGTGAAAACAGTGACACTGTGACAACAACAGTGACAACGGTGACAACAGTGACAACGGTGGGAGCAGTGACATCAGCGACAATAGTGGCAATAGTGACAAAAGTGACAACAGTGAAAACGGTGACAGTGGTGACAACAGTGAATACAGTGACAACGGTAACAACAGTGACAATAGTGACAACAGTGAAAATAGTGACAACGGTGACAACAGTGACAACGGGGACAACAGTGACAACAGTGACAACGGTTGCAGCAGTGACCCCATCGACAACAGTGACAACCGTTACAACACTGAGAAAAGTGACAACAGTGACAACGGTGACAACGGTGAGTACAGTGAAAACACTGACAACGGTGACAACGGTCACAGCATTGACAACAGTCACAACGGAGATAACGGTGACAACTGTGACAAAGGTGACAATAGTCACAATGGTGAGAAAGGTGACAACAGTGACAGTGGTGACAACAGCGACAATGGTGACAACAGCAACAACGGTGACAAAGGTGACAATAGTGACAACGGTGACAACAGTGACAAGAGTGACAACGGTGAAAAGAGTGACAACAGTGATAACATTGATAACAGCGACAAAAGTGACAACGGTGGCACCAGTGACAACGGTGACAACGGTGACAAAGGTGACAACTGTGACAACGGTGACAACAGTTACAACAGTGACGATGGTGACAACGGTGACAATGGTGACAACAGTGACAAGACTGACAATTGTGACAACAGTGACCCCATTGACAACGGTGAGAACAGTGACAATAGTGACAACAGTGAGAACGGTGACAACGGTGACAACAGTGAAAACAGTGACAACAGTAAGAACGGTGACAACAGTGACAACAGTGACAACGATGGCAGCAGTGTCATCAGCGAAACAGTGACAACGGTGAGAAAGGTGACAACGGTGACAACCGCAACAACACTGACAACAGTGACAACGTTGAGAACAGTGACAACGGTGACAACGGTAACAGCTGTAACAGCGGTGACAATAGTGACAACGGTGACAATAGTGACAATGGTGGCAGCAGTGACCTCAGCGACAACAGTGACAACAGAGACAACCGTTACAACAGTGAGAACAGTGATAATGGTGACAACAGTGACAACAGTGAGAACAGTATTAACGGTGACAATGACAACAGTGACAACGGTGACAGCGGTGACAATAGTGACAACGGTGACAACGGTAACAACAGTGACAATAGTGACAACAATAAAAACAGTGACAACGGTGAAAATGGTGAAAACAGTGACAAAGGTGACAACAGTGACCATGGTGACAACAGTAACAACAGTGACAACGGTGACAATGGTGACAACAGAGACAACAGCGACAACAGTGACAACGGTGGCACAAGTGACATCAGCGACAACAGTAACAACAGTGAAAACAGTGATAACAGTGACAGTAGTGACAGACGACAACGGTGACAAAGGTCACAAAAGTGACAACGGTGACAACGGTCACAACAGTGACAACGGTGAAAACTGTGACAACAGTGACAACAGTGACAACGGTGACAACAGTGACAACAGCCACACCAGAGACAACAATGACAACGGTGACGACTGTGACAAAGGTGACAGCAGTGACAACAGTGACAATGGTGACAACAGCGACAACAGCGACAACAGTGACATCAGCGACAACGGTGACAACAGTGACAACGGTGGCACCAGTGACATTAGCGAAAACAGTGACAAAAGTGACAACGGAGACAACGGTGACAAAGGTGACAACGGTGACAAAGGTGACAACAGTGACAATGGTGATAACGGTGACAAAGGTGACAACGGTGACAGGTGACAACAGTGACAATGGTGACAACGGTGACAATAGTGACAACAGTGACAACGGTGACAGCGGTAACAGTGGTGACAACAGTGACAACGGTGACCACGGTGACAACTGTGACAACAGTGACAATGGTGACAACAGTGACAACGGTGGCAGCAGTGACATCA